AGATGATGGCGAGGCTGTGGAGAAATAGAAACACTTTACACTGTTGGTGGGAGTGTAAATTAGTTCAACCATTATGGAAGACAGTGTGGCAATTCTTCAAGGACCTAGAACCAGAAATACCATTTGACCTAGCAATCCCATTACTAGGTATATGCGCAAAGGATTATAAATCATTCTACTATAAAGACACATGTACACATATGTTTATTGCAGCACTATTTACAATAGCAAAGACTTGGAACCATCCCAAATGCTCATCAATGATGGACTGGATAAATAAAATATGGCACATATAAACCATGGAATACTATGCAGCCATAAAAAAAAGAATGTGATCATGTCCTTTGCAGGGACATGGATGAAGTTGGAAGTCATCATTCTCAGCAAACTAACACAAGAACAGAAAACCGAACACCACATGTTCTCACTCATAAGTGGGAGTTGAACAATGAAAACACATGGACACAGGGAGGGGAACATCACACACCGGGGCCTCTCGGAGGGTGGAGGGCAAGGTGTGGGAGAGCATTAGGGCAAATACCTAATGCATGCAGGGCTTAAAACCTAGATGATGGGTTTATAGGTGCAGCAACCACCATGGCACATGTATACTTACATAACAAACCTGCACATTCTGCACATGTATCCCAGAACTTAAAGTAAGAGAAAAAATCAAAACAAACAAACAAAAAGAAATGCAAATTTTCTTGGATCAGGACCTACAGAATCAGAAACACTAGGGATGGAGCCCAATGATGTGTTTTAAAAGCCCTCCATGTGATTCTGATGTCTGCTACATTAGAAAACAACTATTTAAATTATGCTGATGAGTGTAAGCTTTTTGATAACCATCTTGAAGAGCTCCTATTCCAGTGTCTGATTCATGGTAGACTCTCAGTGTTACCCCGAAAATGGAAGATGCACTTAATTTGTAATGCAACAATCTGTGATGTTTACTATTATATTTTAGTGTCTCTCTCTCTCTCTCTCTATATATATATATATATATTTTTTTTAACTGTCTACTCAGGAATGAATAGTTGTCCTCACAGATTATTCATTTTCTTTTCCTTTGAGACTAGCTTTTCAGCTTTTCATTTAATATGAAAAAGGTCATCTTCAAAGAAAATGGTTGTTTGATGCTTCAGTTATTTAATTCTCTAACGAGTCACTGAGTAGCAGAGTTGGTTCATGCCAATCATTTCTTTCCCATTAAAGAAGGAAAGTCACTTCATTGTCAATAATGATTAGTGAATTTTTCCTCTAGTCTCTACTTCAGTACCATTCAAAACTTCAGTGGCCAAAAATTTGTTGTTTCAGACTTCTAAGTCGGCTTTGAGTCTGCTTAAGCAGCCAATTCATCCAAGGGCTGTGAACCTCTCAGCTTTGCCTAAGGTAATAGATGAAAATGGGGAAAAAAAAATTCACAAAGAAAGTTGAAGTGCAACAGGTTTGGGGAGACAAATGGACTCAGATTATGATGTGAATTCATATGTTTTATACACCCAATTATTTCTAATGTGTGAAATCCAGGGAAATTATGTGCTCCAGACTCAGCGAGATTCATGTAGTACAAACCTCTTTTGCATCTTGTCAGGCAAAAGATCCATGTGGTTTGAATAGCATCCTTGCACGTCAGTACATCTAGTCCTTGGGGAAGAGGTTCCTCAGGATAGGGACACCAAACAATGGGTGTGTGTTCTCTGGGGATGAGATAGCTGATTCTGGGTTAAAAACTGAAAACCCAGGGATCATTGAGATTTCAGGGAGGCTCCACATGGACCAGCATAGGGAGGTAGGGATGGCCATAGCATGCTGAGAGTCTACCAGGAATACAGAGAAATCTGGTAAGGCAGGAAGGAAGTGGACCTGCAGGGGAGCCAGGGGTCTGAATGACCAAAGGACCTCCTTAGGCAGCATTCCTTATTCATACGATTCTAATAGGTAGGTGGGTAGAATAATGCTTCTAGGATGGAATTGGACTGAGTGGTGTTATCCACTACCTGAGCAGCTCTTTTCTGAGTACCTAACCAGACCTATTCAGCTTTGTCCTCCTCAGACAGAGGCCCAGATAAAGGGGAGAATTCGTCCCTAGAGCCCAGGTTCTGGGAGGCAGTCTATAAAAATTTGCATTTTGAAGTCCACAAACATTGACTGAATGCCCTCCTGGTGCCAAGCACCATGGAGATGCTAGGGATCAAGTAATTAGAGAGTTCCTGCCCTCAGGGAACTCCAGGCCTTATAAACACTTTATTATAATTCAGTCGAATGGTATCTTTAGGGACAGAAAGTTATGCAAGAATATAAATCAATTTTTTTCTGCCTGAAGAAGTCAGCTAAGTTTTCTTAGAAATGATAATATAGGTAGGCCAGGTTGTGAAGCGGGGCAAGGACATGGCAGGTAAAAGGATGAATGTTTAAAGAAGTATGGTGCTCTCAGGAAATGGCAAGCTGTCTGTTTCTGCAGCAGCATAAGATACCTGAGGGTGAGTGGTAGAGTTGAAGTTGGACAGATGGCATGGAATCAGATCATCAAGAACCTGCAGGGAGCAGAGCTTTAGTCAGAGGAGTCACATGATCAGATTTCTTTTAGAAAGATACATTCTAGCTCTTTTATGGAGGGTGGATTCCAGAGAACAGAGGCCAGACTCAGAGTAGAACCTTGTAAAAGTACGCTTGAAGCATGATGCAGGCCTAACTCAGGGCTATTGCTAAGCTGATGGAGAAGCCAGGTTGACTTTTTGAAGCTTGAATTTGTTATGTTGACTCCCTTTTTAGTCCTATCTCCACCTCTTTGGGGGCTTCTGTGGTTGACGCTCTTATAGTTGCTCTTTATAGAGGGAACAGAGAGAAGGTGGGCCAGCATTCTCTCATATTACATGGGCCTTTTTCCCTCTCAGAGATTTTACCAAACTTTCCTCACAGTGTTAAACTAAACCCAATTACTAATATAAAGAATTTCATGTTAATATATTAGTAAATAAATTCGGTCTTTTGATACCATGTTTTGTGGCAGGTAATTATAACTGAAGTGGCCTACATCAAATGTATTAATTCACTCATGAAACTTTCATTGATATTTACGATATGAAGGCACTGTTGGCTTCACTGAAGGGTAACAAAAAAGCACTGAATATCATCCTCTGGCAGAAATTGCCAGGCCTGCTTTATTCTCTATTGCCACAAGCCAAGGAACTTTCTCAAAGCATTTGGTTCATTTATTCACTAATCCTTCAATTTATAAGTCAACAAATATTTGTTCAGCATTTACTATGTGAAGGCAAATTAATGGCATGAGGTGAGGAACACATTAGAGGTGGAGTAAAAATAGAACAGAAAGTTCAAGGTGGACTTCAAAGTTCTCAGAAATTCCCAAATTTAAAAATACTCTCAAGACTTTGGGCAACTTAATCTTTAATAATCTGACAACTTTTGTTATTAAAGAGCATCTTGGTTTAGGAAGTAAAGTTTTAGCTTCTTTGATAACCTAGGAATCATATCTCTGTTTTCATGTTTCTCTGATAGTTACTTGAAAGTTTGATCCCTGGACTCTGCAATGTGGAGCCATATTCACAGGTCACAGTAATTTTGAAAGATGAGCAAAGAAAGTATTTTCCATTATCTGTCTGTAAGTTTTTCTATTGCTTAAAAAGAGACTAAATAGCATGGTTTTCTAGGCAAGTGTGATAGAAAATGTGGAGCCTAACTCCCCTCCCTCATCCTTTTAAAGGCCAATCTATGAATTTGTTTGAAAATTGTCCAATTTCAGAATTTAGCTAACTAGTTGTTTAAATGACTAAGGGTCATCAGAGAGCATAGAAGTATTATTTGCCCAGGCATAGTTTGACCTCTTCTTTGACAGCCCTTCTTTTCATTGAAGAAACATTCTTTCTCATTCTAGTCTTCTGCTCTTTTGTAGAAAGAGAACTTGCTGGGAGTTAGGTGACTTGACTTCTGATCTCAATTTTGTGGCTAACTAGTTGTAGGACTTTAGGCCAGAGGTTGTCAAACTATAGCCTGCAGGCCAAATCTTGACCACCATCTGTTTGGGAAAATAAAGTTTTATTGGCGCACAGCTATGACTATTTGTTTACTCATTGTTTACGAATGCTTTCTTGCTATAATACTGAGATGAATACTTCTGATAATACCATATGGCCCACAGAACCTCCAATATTTACTGTCTGGCCCTTTACAGAAAAGGTTTACCAACCTCATCTTTAGGCAAGTCACTCTATCACTTGAGCCTCATCTTTCCCATTTGTAAAATTTGGGAGTTGGACTAGGTTGTTCCCAGGGCTCATGTCCTCTTTACATTGTTACTCTAGAACTCTTCTTACAGAGCAGTGTCATCTCACGTCAGTCATTTTATACTGGGACATAAACCTATTCATATTTTTATTCATTCAATTTACTAAGCTCCTAATACCAGAGTGGAACACAAAGTCTAAGAGCATCCCTGCCTTTGAGAAACTTATAATCTGGTTAGAAGATATAACTACAAGGTTTCAAACTTAAATTAAAATAGAAGGTAATAAGGGATAACATACCAAATTAAGTGATAATGTTTAAAAGATTTTAGAGGAGAAATATCTTTATGGACTGACATGATTAGGGAAATATCTGTAGGGGAGAGTGAGATTTTGTATTTTTTTACAGTCATCTTCATAGCCCTGTAAAATACTGGATTCAGTGTCCCTGTAAAGCAGTAGTTTTCAAATTTTAGGATGCATAAAAATCACCTGAATTAGTAGGAAAAAAAATGCAAATTCCTTACATCCAGCTTTCAAGATTCCAAGTAGGTCTGGGGTACTGCTTATAAATGAGTATTTTCACAAACACCCTGGATAATTCTGATACACATTCTGATAAGTTGTTAAATATATTACTATCCAGGAATGTATGATGTTTGGTAGAGTTTTAGTGAACTGTGGTTATGTGTGACTAGAAGGATCTCCATTGTCCATGGAGTAAGTACTTCAATGACTTTCTCTTTTTAGGAAATGTGAGATCTCTTCGGCCAAGAAGAACAACCTGAGGACTCTATTTCTGAAGGTAATTGAACTCCTTTAATAAGTTTAGAGGAAAAATCTGAGATCGGTACATCTTTTGTATCTATGATAGCTAAGGATACATCACTTGAAAGATTCACTGTACTTCCTACTTCCTTCAGCATTTGACTCTTGGTCCTTGTGAGCTCCTTGTTCCTGCAAAGTTGGCTGGGGTCACCATAGTCGGTCAAAAAAAATCCATCAATGACAGAGATAGGGAATCTCCAATCTCTATCCCAAGACGTGTTCTTGATGACTTAAGCACATCAACAGAAGCTCCGGATGCAGAAGAGAGATTTTATCTATGGGAAAATGACCCTCTGAAAAGAAGTGTGAAATCATCAAAAAAGCCATTGGAGGGGACACCTGAGAGTCATGTGGCTGAAGTTTCACAAGATCCCACCATGCTTCTAGTCCAGAGGAGAAATCTAGACCCACTCCCCGAAAAGTATAGGCATCATAAGAAGGCCACAAGGACAAAAAGAAGGAGGAAGGAGAAAATGGAGGCCCAGTGCCCACCTGTTCCTCCAACACCTTCAACACCACCACAAAGTGAGGAAGATGAGGCTGTAGACAAAAAGCCAACTCTACTCAGTGCCCAGGAAGATAATCCTGACCTTCTCCATGAAGTAGGGGTGGCAAAATCCTGGGATTGTCACTCTTCCATAGGAAAAATAATGACAGCTCTTCACCTGGAGTAGGAAGAATTGGGGGTAAGGCGCTTGAGAAACAAACTGGGATCATTGGTCCCAGATAGAACATGCAAGAATTGGTGGCCTGGCACCATGGCTTATGCCTGTAATGCCAGCACTTTGGGAGGCCGAGGCGGGTAGATCACGAGGTCAGGAGATTGAGACCATCCTGGCTAACACGGTGAAACTTGGTCTCTACTAAAAATACAAAAAATTAGCCGGGCGAGGTGGCGGGCGCCTGTAGTCCCAGCTACTCAGGAGGCTGAGGCAGGAGAATTGCTTGAACCTGGGAGGCAGAGCTTGCAGTGAGCCGAGATCCGGCCACTGCACTCCAGCCTGGGTGACAGAGCGGGACTCTGTCTCAAAAAAAAAAAAAAGGCTTGGCTCAGACAGTCATGTCCTTTTTCCCTTTTGCACATGGTTGTTATCTTTGAGGGCTTTGAACTTACTTATTTTACTTACAGGACAGATTACAGTGTCTGCAGGAAGAGGGTTCCAGTGTGATGCATCAGGAATGTCAGATCGAGTCCTGAGAACTCTCAGTGGCTCAGAAGCCCAGGCCCTCTTCTCCTGCAGTGACATCCTCGGCATAACCACCACTCTGCTTTGGCAGTTTCCTAAGCTGTGTCTGCCAGACCTTCTCAAGGTCTAGAAGCAGAAGGCACCCAGAAGAAAGGGTAACAACCAGGCTGAGGCAGGAGGTGATGCTGAGGTCCTGAGACCTGGCCAGGCAAAATCAGAGTTGAGCCTCAGCAAAACGTGTAGCCACTTGAAACTGATACAGCTTTCCTTTGTGTTTAGTTTTATGGTTCTCTCTGTGTGTCACTGTTCCTCTTAGTTGAGTTTTTGCCTGTCAAAGAGATAGAGAACTGCTTTTATGCTGAGATCCTCAAGTCAAAACCCACAGTAAAAGCAAAGTAAAACTTTGAGGCTTTCAACTTTTACTCAGTGGTGGAATTACTTCCTACTTCCTTCCCATTAGGTTGAAGGTGTGATTCTCTCTGGAGAAAGTTGTTCCCAAAATTCATGTGTATTTCACTCAGGATTGAAGTGATACAATTTCATCATTTTTGGTAGTGTTTCCTGATACCAACAACCAAATGGAGACCTTTCATGTCCAACTCCTTTCATTTTCTCTTACCTTCAACTACAGATTCATTTTGTATTATTCTTCCCTATTTTGTTGAAATTCTGCCACTTTTTTTTTTTTTTTTTGAGACGGAGTCTCACTCTGTTGCCCAGGCTGGAGTACAGTGTATGATCTTGGCTGACTGCAAGCTCTGCCTCCCAGGTTCAAGCAATTCTCCTGCCTCAGCCTCCCAAGTAGCTGGGACTACAGGTGAGTGCCACCACACCCAGCTAATTTTTGTACTTTTAGTAGAGAGGGGGTTTCACCATGTTGGCCAGAATGGTCTCTATCTCTTGACCTCAGGATCTGCCCGCCTCGGCCTCCCAAAGTGCTGGGATTACAGGCGTGAGCCACCGCGCCTGACCAATTCTGCCACTTTCTAACTTGAATAAGCCTCAGGATGTCCTGGTTGCTACACAGCTATCACTTCCTCCATCTCTAACCAATGTTTGGTTTCTTTTTTGTCACTTGGTAGTAAGGTACCTAGCTCTCCCTTCTGAAATGTACCTTTGGTGTTCTGTAGCCATCTGTATTGAAAGCATAGTCACACAAGGTAATGTTTCTTCCTTGTCATTCTGTAGTCAGACTTTCACAGAATCCTGAGTTCTTCTGAGAATCCTAAAGAAGATAAGTTCTTTAAGAAAAGTTCAAGATCATTTCATTTCCCTCTTGTTCTGGTATGCTAGGTTAATCCTTTTCCCAGGATGTAAGAGTTTAAATTAATCTTACACTTTCTTTTGAGGGAGTATGTTTAAGAAGAGTTGAGGAGTTTCCCTGTAGCTTTATTACTTGTTGTTATTTCCTAATTGTCCCAGTTTCCCAATTCATGTAAGAATAATAAATAAAAATGCAAATATAAATAAATGTGCAAAGTATCTGCATAAGAAAGAAATAATATAACTTATTTTCTTTTTTCCTTAGCACTGACTCTGATGATTACTATACGAAAATTGGAAATGTGACCAGTATGTTGGTTCTTTTCATGCCTGGAACAAGGCTTTGTACTGTTGGAAGAATACAGGTTTCAGATAAGGAAAGATCTACACAAGCACTTAGTTTTGAAACTTTTCTGCTCCCATGTGTCTTGACTCCTTACTCACAACCAAGAGAAGGGGAGTTTACATCTCCTCTGATGCATTTGTGAAGGAGAAAGTATATGTTTCCAGGTTTCAAAGGTTGTGTTGCTGTAGTTGGGAAGGGAATAGAATGAGTTGCAAGAGTGGTGGCAAATATCCTCAAGGATGCTTTGGAGGTAACAGATTACAACCACATTTGAAGAAATTTCATGGTTTGGTGAGGATTTCAAATTAGAATTAGAGAAATTTTGCAAAATGTCGTAGTACTTAGAGTAAAATAGGACACCTTTCTAAAGTCAGTCATACTTTGATACTTTTTGTTGTCTAAAAAGTGGTTGGTTTCTCATTTTAAACAGTATTGAGTTTTCTTGAGTTAATTGACCATGATAAATGGGTTTTATTACATAAAATTTCAAATTATCCAAACTATATCTATATTTACATACATATTTTCTCCATTTAATACAAGAAGCACACTCCCAGGTGAGGCATAACGTACGAAAGTCCTGAGTCATAGAGCCTGTTATTAAAAGCTCACCAGAATGCAGATATTAGTGTTGCTATTATATTTTATTATTGTTATTATTTATCATAATATGTGTTTCAGGTTAGTTGTTCTATCATAGAAAAACTATTAGTGGGAACCTAGTTAGCCATATCTTCAGCCCCATCTACAATACTGATTTTCACATAAAAGTTGTTTGCTACAAATTTGGTACATAGGTTTAAAATAAGGAAAGATCTATATAAGCGCTTAGTTTTGAAATTTTTCTGCTCTGTGTCTTGACCTTTTACTCAAACAAGAGAAAGGGTGTTTATATCTCCTCTGATGCAGTTTGTAAATGGGAAAGTGTATGTTTCTGTGTTTCAAATTTTGTGTTGCTGTCTTTATGGTTTGAATTACTAAACATGATTTATGACTTAATAAAGCTGCTTTTGAAAAATATACTTAGAAAAATAGTGTAGCTGTTTCAAAGTAAAAACAAATTTAAAAATAAAACTTACTACTATTGATGATAGAGCTTATGAGTCATTTAAAAAAATTGTTTCCCCTGCAAAGCAGATAAACAGTTTTGCACATGTATTATAAACAGATATAATTGACAAGTATAGAAGTGATCGTATTTAATGTATTTAGTTCTCTTTTTTATCCCCAGGGGAACTTACAGAACTAGGTAAGTATCAGATGTTGCTGTACTCATTGCTACAGGCTGATTAAGCTGAGATTAAACAGGTCAATAAAAGTTTTCCAGCAATTTTTCTAGATTACTTGTTTAGTCTGAAAAAGAATTATAATACAAGTTTTTAAACCAAATTATTGAACTACTAGTTTTGTGCTTTTGTCTTGTAAATGCAATTTTTTTGCTCTGGGTTCTTGTCCTAACGTTCAGTATCAAAACATTTCCTACTGACCATTTTGTTTTTGTCAACTTATTCTCATATTAGTGTCCAAATTTCAACTAATGCCTTTATTACTCACTGGGAAAATTTTAACATGAAAAAACCCTGACTAATGTAAAATTATACCCCCCAAATAAACCAATAAAAAGAGTTTACTTATTACCTGAATTTTGACAGAAATATTAGAAAGTATCTAGTCCTTTCCTCTTATTTATCAGAGGAACCTGAAGCAGAGAAATTGAAATAGAAATTGAAGAGAAATTGAATAGCTCTCTCAAAGTGACATAGTTGGTTAGTGACAAAGCTAAAACAAATAATAGCTACCATCTTGTGCTTATTCACACGTCAGTCATCTTCAGGCAATCTGCATAGGATTGGAATGATAGTTTAAGTTCAGAAAGGTCCCAGGACAGGCAAGTCTTGATGCAGAATCCAAACCTAGGTCTGTTAGTCTCTGAAGCCAATACTTGTTACATTGTACCTCTCAGTATTATAATATAAAATGCCTGTTGCAAGTCTAACTGTAATATTAAGAATAAATAATTTCTTTTATTTGCCAAAATTTAGATTTTAGCTTTAGCACATATACAATAAAAAGAGTCTAATTTTTAAAAAGTCCAATTAAAAAGACTATTTCTTTGGGTAACATTTCTGTATTGAGCTGTAAATAATAAAATAGAACCTAAGGGATTGAAAAAAGAAAACTTCAGTGTAATATAAATAAACTTTTAATCATTACAACCAATTAAATTGAGACAATTACTTAACTGAAAAGTGATTAAGGAAAAAGGAATAGCACATAATCAAAGCAGGGTCTTTGACTTGACACGGTCACAAGACAAGGCACAACAAAGTCGAATTAGGCTCCATGGAAAGCTAATGGATTTAAAGGCATTTCTAAACTGTTTTCAGGTGAAGAGTTTGAGACTTGGGTAGCAGAAAGACAGGCTCTTCACCATAACCCAGTGACCCTTGAAATGAGTAAGTATACTCCTGCTAATGAACTCCAGGCTTTACATAGGAAATTTGAATTTTCTCACGCTTCAAAACATTCTTTTCATTCTGATTTGACAAGGCCTTTTTCAAGACAGAAGAAAAGAACAACGGAACTGGAAGATTCAAACCACTTGGCTGTGTGATCAAGGGATTTGGTTCTTCATTTTTGCAGATTCAAGACACGAGGACAAGTGCTGTTGTATGTGGGAGAGCAGATTGGTGCAGATTTCTTGAACTATTTTCTGACAGCTATAAAGAATTATAGCACTGCCCCCAGCCTGGAACCTTTGTGATGGACTGTCTCAGACACAGATATAGTTATCACCCTCCCGGGTCACAGTGCTCATCTAGAGAAGGGCTTTGACTATGATCCTTGGTTCTCCCATCCCACAACACCTTGTGCCTTAGAGTTAGTCCCGCAGTTGGTGACAGGGCCATGATGGCTGTTTTAATAGGAGTTTCAATACTCTACATAAAAAGATAAACTTCAAAACAAATGACAACATTCTTTACACAAATTGCATAATTTTAAATGAATTCAACATTCTGCGATTCTATTACAAATGACTTCTAACGTGAACTTCACTTGTTTTCTAGTTGTAATCACTATTCTGATTTTTGAATGCCTGTGAAACTACTCAGTACTGGATCCTTATGATGGTAACTCTTCTGGTGGCTGACACAAAAGATCCATTCACAGAAGAGTGATGAAACAGCAATTGAGATTTTTAATAACTACTGTGAGAAATATTCCTTTATACTTCTCCTTTTATTTGGAAGAAATAATTAAAATGCCTTGAAAAGTTTTTAAAAACACACACACATTTCAACCAGTATGTAGTACCAAAACTTCTTGGCCAGCGATGCTCAAAAATAATTTCTGGCTAAAATTTATATACAAACAATAGTAGATTAAAAAATAGAATAGTAATCATGTAACCTCTTTTCTAACAGCTACCATTCACCTTAATTTAAAATGTAGTCTCATTTTAAAGTTAAAATTATGAAGTAAAGGTCTAAATCCAATTATATAAATTATCTAACCCTAAATATTTTGCAATTACATAATAAGTACTTGTGAAATATCTGCCTAAGTCTGGACTTAAAAAACAGATATTAGGTCCTAGTTTTGCCATTTACTACTCTGTAACTTTGGCTATTTATTTAAACTCGTTTATCTCTAGTTTCCTCCTCTAAAAAAAGGAGAGTATTAACATACCAGGTGGTTTTTCTGAGGATTGGATGAGATAATATCTCTGAAAGAACCTAGTGACTGTTTTATAGTAGAAAGCTTTTGCCATTATAATGTCTATTGAATTCCTATAAAGCAAAACGTTAACTCTACTAAGTGCTACAGAAGGGTAAGCTACTCATGTAAATTCTTATTTGAAAGGAAAGGAAATTTGTATCTCGGGAAATAATGTGCAGGCAAATAGATTTAATATGTGTTTATTCCTAATTTGTGTGTATCTAGAAAAATATTTTACCCCAGAATTAGACAAGCCCAAAACCCTTTATTGTTGCAACCTGTGAAATCCATATTAGTTGGGCCTTTGTTTTCATTTTTTTTGAGGCGCAGTCTTGCTCTATCACCCAGGCTGGAGTGCAGTGGCGTGATCTCTGCTCACTGCAAGTTCCGCCTTCCGGGTTCATGCCATTCTCCTGCCTCAGCCTCTGAAGTAGCTGGGACTACAGGTGCCTGCCACCACGCCCAGCTAAGTTTTTGTACTTCAGTAGAGACAGGGTTTCACCGTGTTAGCCAGGATGGTCTTGATCTCCTGACCTCGTGATCCACCCACCTCAGCCTCGCAAAGTGCTGGGATTACAGGCGTGAGCCACTGCACCTGGCTGTCATTATTATTTTCTAAAAAGACTTAATTGTAAAGATAGTTTATTCAATGGCTGTCATAATCTAATGGTTATTTGTTCTGCTTCAACCCTCTTGAATGATAGGAGCTATTCTATTAATAGCAGTACTTTCAGTATGGCAATGATTATTAATGAAATGAGGATAGAAGGCCCTCTAAGATATATTAGAATTTTGAAGAAATTTTCATTGGAAAAGCTCCCCTATATTCTAATATTCCCCTTTTTCATTTCTTCTGTCCACCTGTTGAATTTTACACCAAGACTGACTATGTAAGGGACCGTTAAAGTTTTATGATCTGGAATTCTGTTCCACTCAAGAGGCAGTTATGGAACATCTGTGCCTAAACTGAAGCTATTTTATCTCAAAGTCAAGGAACGTAAGCATAAATAAAAAGTAGAAGAACATGTCTGTGCTGTTAAATAATATACAATGTGTTCAGAGAAAATAAGACAAGCACTTACATAATGCCCACTGAACAACCACAAAGGTATCCAAAGGAGCTCAAGAGAATGTTATACAATGTGAGTAAGTAAGAACTGATGGAATGTCTTGAAAAGGAAGGATTATTGCAAGGTAGAATATATAGGATGGTTTCTCTGAATAGGTAACTTTCGAGTTGGACCTTGAGGGAAAAGAATATGGTATAGATTTATCCAATCCCACATGCAAAGAGGATAAAACCACTTTACTGGGTAGAGTTGTTTTAGAGGCTGGTCAAACCAAAGCACAACTGTAAACCAGATCCAGGACATAAAGCTGATAGAAATTGTGAAACCATTATGGACAGGTCATTATGCCTACGTGTAGGCAGTCCAAAAGATGGGTCAGGAGCAGAAGAGAGAGCTAGAAAGTTAGGGTCTGAATACAGGCAGAAATGGTTTAAAGGCATTCACAAAGGCTGGAATAAAGAGAGGGCCCAGGACTTTTATCTGAAAAAGAGAAAGGTCTATGGGGTGCTGGCCATGAAATGGTTTTGGTGGAGAGGTCCCTTCCAAATGAAAATAGGGTGGACAATATTAAAGGACATGAAAGCAAATAATGTAGATGAAGAGCATTATGTACAGATGTAGCAATTTCCGTCATATATTGAAGGCATGCAATAGCATAGAAATGTGTAGTGGGAGTAATAAGGAATAAGTTAGGGGCCAGTTGAATCGGATACTTGAATTCCCTACTTGGCTTTGATTTTATAGGTGAAAAGGAGCCACTGTAGATTCTCAATCTTCTCTAAGAAGATAACATTGCCCAAGTTAGTAAGCTTAAGAAGGAACGAGTGTAAGAGATGTGCAAGGGCATAGACCTAGATTCAATACTGACCTCTAGGAATATGTCATTTGGTTAGCTGCCTTTCACTGCATGTGACCTAGATGATTGCCTCTTTTTCACCACTTGCCTATAACTAATATATTTTTGTAAGAATAGTGGATAAAACTAAAAGAACAATTACAAAAAAAAAAAAAACCCTTATGTGTAAGCACACAGTATTTTGTATTTTTAAGACTGGAAAATTATGATCTCTTGACTTATGGTTTTACATTTTACATTAGTCAAATGAAACATAAAAATTAAATGTGATACATTTGTTGGAAAGTTCCAAATATTTATTCTTCCATAAGACAACAGAGCAGTATAGCTTAGTATTTGAGAATGCATCTGCAGATAGTTTCTGGGTCCAATTCCTGGCTTTATCACTTAATATCTACCTTAAACAGAATTACCTTTTCCATGCTTTAGTTTGCTCATCTGAAA